CAAGTTTTAATGTGAAAGTACCAGGCGGTCATAAACACTACAGCTGTGTTTCAGTGCAGTAGCGCAAACGTAAGGCTAGTAAGTAGCTATAGTTTGTCTAAATAAGATAGATTAGTTTGATAAATAACGTATATGACGTATCGAATTAACTTTGTTTGAAGGTAAATGCCGTACTTAATTGACAGCTATTGTAGTGACGAAACAAACACGCATAGCGAACAATTATGAACTATCGATATTTGGTTTAAATAAAATTTATCTAACTTAACTAAATTATTATTTTCTTGTTACTACTACTACTAATTTATTAATGACAATTTAGTAATGACAGAAATAATAGCGAAATCCAAATCGATTACATACAGCTGTAGTAGTAATAAATATATATTTACTCTCATTTTTTGTACTGGTTCTGCAGGTCATTATTAATTTGAGAAAACATTGTTTTATTTTTAATTCATAAGTTACAACTACGAACCTATCGATTCCTACTTCCATAAAAATAAAAATCGAAAATCGATAAGATTCATGACTAATTTTACACATGGGTTGTGTAAAATCAGTCATAGCCCTACTAAATTTGAAATAAATTGTCAAACTAATCTATCTCATTTAGACAAACTATAGTAAGTACGTAGTAAGTAGTAAGCACGATATTTTAATTTGTGATAGCTACGAGCATTTCTATTGAGGTGGTACAAAGTTTGACATCGAAACATCTTGTTCTCATTCTACTGTCATATGTATACGCCAGTACCTGTAACATGTCAGTTACTGGTATGCCATTATCAGCACAGGTTGAATCCAGCGGAATACAAAAGTACCAGGCGAGCATAACCTCGCAGTAGTGATGTTTACCTTCAGTGTACATGTGCAGGCGCAGTGCGAGCGTGGCTGCGGGCGAGCGCAGCACGTCGCAGCGGCGCAGGTGCAGCTGCTGCCGGTAGCAGGACAGCGGCAGCTCGGGTAGTGGCGCTGCGCACCGCCCACTACTACTGCTGCTTAACTAAAATAAATTAATTTTATTAATTTCCTCTATAGGTAGGGGATTTGTCAAAACTAGTACCAGGCCCCCAGACCTTGCTATCGAACAAGAACAAACCATAAAAGTTAATTAAAAAATATTGGTAAAAATCTAAGTTAGGATCGACCTGACCTCGTCATTTGTACATCTTACTAATGTTATAAATGCGTATTTTGATGGATTTTTGTTAGAGTTTGTTGCCTAAATCTCGATGAAATTTAGCAAAGACGTAGAGCATGTAAGAATATGTAGGCTACCTGCACTTTTGTTTCCTAATTCCACGCGACAAAAGTCGGAGACGAAAGCTAGTAAAGTATATATTATACTAATATTATAAATGCGAAAGTTTAGCTCGATGGATGGATGTTAGAGTTTGTTGCCTAAACGGCTGAACTAATTTCGATTAAATTTAAATAGTTTGGAATAACATAGGCTACTCACTTTTGATTTATTTTTTATCCACGCGGACTAAGTTGCGGACGAAAACTAGTGAAAAAATAGTGAATTCTAGTCTTACTTGATGTTGTGATCCATAGTAAATGGTGGTCCGGGAGACGACAGGAGAACCGCCGTTGGGGAACTGCAGCGAGCCCAGGCCGTGCGCGTACCCAGGCTGAAATTATAAACAACAGATTTAAAGAAACATAATTTTTTTACATAGATATACTGATATAAACAGTATAAAAAAACCTTACGCGTTAATAAAGAGCTTTTAAAAATTACAGTAAAGCCCGCTAGACACGTCCTGCTTTATCTGAATAGTCGAATGTTCAGAAAAAACTGAGCGTGTTTAACGGGCTTAAGCTTTAAAAATGAAAACACTTGTATTAATATTTTAAGAAAAGCTATCAAACTATACTGTCACTTATGAGATCCTGGTATCTCGATCAGATATTAAACAAATAATATTGTCTCTGGTTTGTTAAAGATAGTGAAAGAGATGTCAATAAATGTCATGACAGTGGTATTATAAGTTTAAATCCGCTGTACATAAGGGTCTAATTACCTCAAATTTACTATCAACAGGAAAATAGAATGAAAGTCCTCTAAAATTGAGTGCGAAGAGATGCCGTTGCGAGTCGTAAAGGCCGGGGTGAGTCGCGCCAAAGCAGTGCTCCACTTGCTCTATAGACGGCGTGATCTCCGGAGAATTGAAGCACATGCCACTGGAAATACGATTTTATACTATCAGAAATAAGACTCAATTTCATATCCAAGTGATTCATAACCAAATAAGTTCAGAAATTTAAAAACTTCTCAGTTCTTATTTACTCATGACATAAAAACCTGTAATTTTTTTAAAGTCCACGAGTAAAGTTTGGGAATCTCAGAATTAGACAATAATGGAGTGAATTTAAAAAGTTTTTCTCTTAATATGTATTTCTCAACAAAGCATCTAATAATAATTAATCTGTTCCTAACAACAGTTAATGTGACAAATAAACGCTATTATTACCTTGTCCCTGAGAGATTGGCGCGCGCGGGAAGTAAACGCGCGAACATTAAAATGTCATTAGGTCACAGATACGCAAAGAGTAAATACCTTGCACCGCATATTGTTGCCACAACTATCGCTTATTTTTTTTAATATATACATATAATAAAATTGGAGAGTCTGTTTGTTGTTATTATAATATCAAAAGAAAAAATCAAGATTTCGGGAAGATTATGTATTAGTGTTGCTGATAACGAAACTCGAATATAAAAAAAAATTGTCTGTCTGCCTGTCCGCAAGCAGGGTTCCGGGTAATCTCCGAAACGGCTGGACCGATTTCGACCGGACTGTCACTAAAGGGTAGCTGGCATAGACGGGCATATTGTAGGCGACTTTTTATCGTAATATTGCGTGAACAAAGTCGCGGACAACAGCTTGTTTATTAGTAAAAACATGTCAGTAACAGCGTATCAAACCACTTCATTTTATTGTTTACAATTGTCAAATTCACAATTGCAGATGTCAAAATTACCGTTACCATTACAACTTTGCTTCCTTAGTGTTGGCAGCTTGTAGTTTATGATCCCTTTCCCTTATAAGGTTTTTTTTTCGAATTTATCTACCCCCTAAGTTTAATAGCGTTAAAATATACAGCCTGAAGCGTTTCGTTGTCTTTTTATTGAAGATAGAATAATTTAAAAACATGCTATGATTGCTGACATCCTACGCCACGAATTAGTGTGTGTTTACGCTTTATTATATTAGTATAGATATACTCGTAGATATAGATTGTTGTGTACTCACCTATACCTAAGCTTAACTAATTTCATATTGTATATTTCTATAATTTTGAGGCGCTGTGCGACCGGGTCGAATATTAACCGGATGCCGTCCTGCGGCATATTTATTACTAGGTCTACCGATAATGGATTCTGAAACAAAAAAACAATAATTAAAATACAATTTTAATAATTAACCAATGTTATAAGACCCTATGTTTGAAACTGTAGATTTTAAACTGAATAAGGTATTTTGTACTAAAATCAAAAATAAAGATCTCTGTATAGAAAAATGTAAATAATGTGGTAGAATGAAGACTGGAAAAATGTATATCGAAAACCATTACCGGAAGGTATTCCCGCGTGAAGGCGTTCCTACATTAAATGACATTCTGTTCTGAATACTTCAAGTTTTTTGGCATATGTAGACTCCCTAAACATACAAAAAATATAAAATAATCATAACTTATTTACAATTATCCTCAACAGAGCGTTAGAATCAGGGTTGCGGCTGCTCATACAACCCTGTTCCCCCCAAGTGATAAAAAGGGGGCGCCTATGGAATCTCGATCAAGGAGATAGAAGCACTAAAATTAATACTGGTCCTCAATCCTAATGTTTTTTATGTTTTCTGTTATTGCTGTGAGAGATGGCAGTAAAATTGTTATAGTATTAGACATACTAGCTAACGCCCGCGACACCGTCCGAGTGGAATTAAAAAAATGAAAGTAGCCTATGTGTTCTTTCAAATTATCTTACACATCTAGGCCAAATTTTATGGAGATCTATTCACCCGTCTAGGTTACAAACAAACATCCATCCATCTAAACTTTCGCTTTTATAATATTGGTATGAAGTATTATTCCAAATACATCTACGTTATTGACAAACATTTCCCGCGAAGTTTATTGTAAATTGTTAAGGTCATTTCTACTGCCTACACACATTGTCATTTGTTATCCCACTCTTTTTCTTAGATAAGACAGAGATGGCAATATGTACACGCTCTCTCACAGCTTTTGTTTTATTCCCACTTAAACATTCCTATTAATAATCCTGATTAATTCTATCTGTATTATTAACCTTACCACACCTAGGGATTGCTACCATCAGTGCCATAATGTCGAAAATCAAGGCACAAAATACGGCGTATAGTCTATGTACAGAAGTCAGTGGCAAGTTTCCGTGGAAACGTACCGTTTAAAAACACCTGTCAAATGGAATGCACCAAAACAAAAGCGCGCCATCATGTGAATGCGTGATTATTTATACACGTGTAGAATTTTACTACGCGACAAATATCGCGGTGAAATAATCTTCACACAAGACATGAATCGACTAGCGACCGCGAGTTCGTTTTCTCTAAACCTGGTTTCAATTTAATCTAGATTCAGTTGTTTAAGATTTACATAGTAACAAACATCCATACATTTGTACTTTATAAAACTCATCAACTTGCTCTTGTCTCTACGGAGGGTCGGCACAATATGGACATATGTATACATTTCTATCTGTATACATGTCCTCTTTCAAACAACCTATCCATACTTTCGGTCTTCCTCTACCTTTCCCCTATATAATACTAGCTTTCGCCCGCGACTCTGTCCGCTTGGAATTTAAAAAAAAACGAAAGTAAGGAGCCTATGTGTTCTTCTAGACTATCGTCTACATCTATACCAAATTTCATCGAAATCCGTTCACCTGTTTAGGCTACAAACTCTAACAAACATCCATCCATCCATATAATATTAGTTTAGATAGTATATATTTACCTGATCACTATATAAGACTTGCACACCTCGTATTGTACCCACTTGGCTTTGTATGATGGCAACTGACTGAGAGAAATGCATCCCTGTAACAGAAAGTACATGTTAATAAATAAACATACAAAAAAGCATTTTTTTTTATATAACATAAGGTGGCAAACGAGCAAGTGGCCACCTAAATCCACCATAATGGCGAAGCGACCTCTGCCCATAGACATTCGCAATTGCAGATGCGTTGCCTACCCTTATACGACGGCGGAGGACAAGCACATTAAGAGGACATTTCCCCTTCCTATGCATCTCCTCCACCGTCAAATCCACTTCCCTTTCGCATCCTCTCCTTATAAGAAAAGGGTGGTAATTACACCGGGCATTCCGGCCCCTTCGTGCTAAGATGTTAAAGCGGGCACTACCACTGTCAAATTTTAATAGTACTTCAATTTTTAGACATATGTTTTACTAGTATAAACGCTCAAGACGCAGCAAAATTAAGAAAACATGATAAAACCATCTTAAGGCTAGCTTTTGCCTGCGACTTCGTCCGAACGGATTAAAAAATATTAATATATCTTATGTTATTTAGTATTAATATAGCTTAATAATGGTAAAAGAATTTTTGAAGTCCGGTAGTTTTTGAGTTTATTCGATACATACAAAAATACAATCTTATCTTCATAAGTATAGCGTAGACTATAGTTTCATAGTAACAAAGACACACATTATTGTGACCTCCATACAAAATTGTATTGTATAACATAGAGCTGCAAAAAAAGGTTACGCTCGCTTACGGAATATTAACAACTCTGTTCATACAATCCATCAATATTTATTAAAAACATCGTCTGGCGCCGTTACTTTGACATGTCAATTTTAATATTTACTACTTTGATAGTCGTTGGAAATGACCCTGTTGAGATTTTTCATATCATAAACGAAGCCATATTTTAAACTACCATAAAATTGTAAACTAAACGAATCACACAAACGAACATAACAAACTATTAAAACCACCAGTACAATAATACTATCGTCTCACTCATTTTCTTTGAAAAAACTGTGACAAAAACAGATGTTTCGACAGCAGGACCCACGTATAGTCGCAGAAATCCGTGGTATACCACTTCAGAAAAAAAATCCCTTGTTCATTCCAACGAAACAAACTCCGCCTCTTCCTACAAATAACTATTTAGATAGCAGTAAATGCAAACGAAGGTATAATAGAAACCAACTAGTTGTGTATCAAACAGACTTTTTTTCGTATATACATTTATAAGGCGTTGTATTGGTTTTTGTTCCATGTCTTGTTTCAAAATGTTCAAACGAATGTAGCTTTTAACGGAACGCCCAGATTCCACGGCTGTACATGCCTTAACAATTATCTAGGCTAGTTTAAAAAATATATGTCAGCGCATTATTTAGCCCATTAGCATGAGTAGGGCGTGACTATAACCCTCAGAGGGACAATTACCTCGCTTGGTTACACGAAAAAGACCATTTCTATTATTTGTTACAGAAATGACCTATTTACGGTATTCAAGTGTGTAATTTTACCTTTGGTTTTTACGTATTCAAATCTTACTAATATTATAAATGCGAAACTTTACATGGATGTTTGTTAGAGTTTACAGCGTAAACAGCTTAACGGATCTCAATGAAATTTGGCATAGACGTAGAGGATGGTCTTGAAGAACACATAGGCTACTCACTTTTAGTTTTTTTTAATTCCACGCGGACAGAATCGCGGGTGAAAGCTAGTTATCGATAAATAAACGTCCTTTTTACGTAACGTTTTGGTGTATTGTTTTTCCGTTGCAGTAATAGTTCCACTATCATTCAAATCAGTAATATTTTTAATTGGCTTTTAGGTTGTTTTCGACATCGAAACGATGGCGTCGAGCCAAGACCCTTCACGATGGAATATAGTGAAATACGAAAATAAATCTGTGATAATGCTGTAACACACGCTATGATTAGTTCATTACGATCTTATTATAGTAAATTATTTTTAGAAGACATATATTTATGTGTATTTTAAATTTTTTGACTCTTAGCCTCCCGCCACGCCTATGACGTGAAATTTCATGTTGTTGTTGTTGTTGATAATCCGCAGTGGGCCAGAGCGTGCGCACACTTAAACCTAAACCATCGCAGAACTGTTTAGTCTCACTTAGATTTCTATGACCTTATATGGAGGTGCGCACACTACTCGATTTTTAGTTGTGCAACAAAATAGTTGAATTGGTTGCGAAACAATCGACAATCGCACAACAGTAGTGCGATAGTTTAGTCAAAGGCGTGCGCCCTTTTTATCGTTTAGCCACATTCCATAACATTATTCGTTTTGCATTGGCTTTTTTTTATACCAGTTCTAAAACAAAGGCCTCGTGCAGTCATCTTTTTGCGGTGAGTTTATTAAAGTTCAACATCAGAAATAGCTGGAGTTATTTCTGATTCTGGTTTATAGACGAAAGGTGAGTATGACAATAAAGGTGATTCTACACTGGAGTGCTAACAATGTTTTTATATTAAATTAGTAATCTATCTACATATAATAAAATTGGCGTGTCTGTAATATCCAAAGAAAAATTTCAGATTTCGGGAAGATGATGTATCTTTTTTTTTTGGTTTCGGGGGAAATCTTCAAAGGATACCTTTCCTTCTGGGGGGAAGGCAGGGTTATGTAGGATTTGACCTACTAAAACCCCCTCGGTGGCCATCCTCTAGTGACATTGACGAAGGTTCCGGGATCTCCAAGGAACACACCGGAACCTTCGGCACTTTTGTCTGTCTGTCAAACTTATACGAAAAGGAGCCCCTATATGTCTTGCGCCCTGGGCGATCACCCCACCACGCCCTGAAGTAAATAAAATCTATACAGTGTTAATGTGCGTAAAACAGAAAATTAATAATTATAGTAAACAAGCTCCGAAAATGACGCAAAACCGTGTAGTGATATCCAGTTGTACGGTTTGCAAAAACACTTCAATGCCACGCTACTCACGTAAACGATATCATTGTAAACAATATTTTTATTCTATCGCTTGTTTTGAACTGATAAAGTTTAGACGATACGCTATTTACGATATTATAACGCGTATTATAGCATCGTTGTAAACAAGCTACGTTTTTAAATTATTATTTTTTTCGTCGTGTTAACATAGGAAAAAATACGCAAAAATTTTACCTATTGTATTAAAAAATCTGTACATTGCATCAGCTTATATCAAACTGTTGCATTGAAGAAATATATTTAACCAAATAAAACATCAAAGAACATAGTCTGGCAGAAAACAAAACAAACTTTTTTTTACAGACGGACTCGAGGACTAAAGCTAGTTTTATTAATAGGCTATAATAGTAGATTGCATTGCATTACTTTTTATCGAGATATTGTAGTTAGAAATCTATACTAATATTATAAAGAGGAAAGATTTGTATTTTTGTATAATTGAAATAACTCACAAACTACTGAACCGATTTTAAAAATTCCTTTACTATTAGAAAGGTAATTTATAGGTGAGCAACATAGGCTATATTTTTAAATTTCATATAGACGAAGTCGCGAGCAACAGCTACACTTATAAAAAGAAAAGAACGATTGTCCGTTTCCTAAGCATTTTGGTCATTTGGCTCCAACAAAAATCTAAAATTTTACATTACAATATCTGCTAATTTATAAGTAATATATTGAGTTTTCTATAAAATTTTCTAACATAAGGTGAAGCAAATGTAATTTCTTAATATTAATTCAAGTTTCAGTGTTCAAACAGCCGCCTTAATCTGTACACTGTATTTGTACTAAATTTAAACAATACACCAGTTTATGGCCACATTGTTTTTGTTTTATTAAAAAAACTACATAATAACAAAACAATGCAATGTTAAAAATAAAACATTAATTGTTTTATCATCACTGTGATCCGTGAAATTAAAATAAAAACTTTATTAAATTTTTATTTTAAAACATATACAATGAAAAATGTTATATCTAGATCGTGTATATATGCTTAATATTTTCCTATGTAATTGTGTGATTAAATTAGCTGTTGTGTATGTTATACACACTAGCTTTTGGCCCTTTATTATCCATGTAATTAAAACTAAAGAGAGACAATGTGTTCTTGAATATCCTCTACATCTATACCAAATTTAAATCAAGTCAGTTTATGCCAGTGATTCTCAACCTTTTTTTGTTGCACACAAAAAGATTAAAATTATTTACTTACTAACACACTGCATAAATAGTTTATGAAAAAATGTAATATATAGGAAATAAACTAATATATACGGTGAAGGAAAACATCGTGATGCAACCTGCACATATCGGCGAAGGAATTCAAAGATATGTGTGAAGTCAACCAACCCGCACTTGGCCAGCATGGTTGACTATGGCCTAGTCACCCCTTATTAGGGTAGGCTCCGAGCCCCTCGGTGGGGACATATAGTGAGCTGGTGATGATGATGATAATGATACTACAATAATAACTAAATGTTTTTTAAGGGATTAATAACAAGCTCCAACAGTGGTAGAGCCCGCTTTAACATCTTCGCATGAATGGGCCAGCTCGCCCGGTGTAATACCACGACCACACAGAAGACAGGCGTGAAGTGGAAGCAATTCCGCGTTTCGTCTGATGAGTGTGGTGCCAGAGGCCTAATTTTAGTCCCTTTCCCTTTCCACCCTTTCCTTAAGAGGAAAGGATGGGAAGGAATAGTGGATTTGACGGTGAAGACGCATAGTAAGGGGAAATATCCTCTTTATGTGCGTCTCCTCCGTCAATTAAGGGTAGGCAATGCATCTACAATTGCAGATGTCTATGAATATTATAAATCCTGTTTGATTTATGACTGATAATAATTGATAAAAATGTGATCAGACGGTTATGTAAATAAAAAGATACCACCTCATATCTCGAATGATGCAATAAGTATTTTTTACTATTTTACATAATAGAACTTGCACTAAAAATACATCTAGAATCTTCTTACTGCTATAATTGTTGAAGTTAAATGGTTTGTAGCCTAAAAGGCTGTTTGAATCTCTGTGATATTTGGCATAGATACCATACTCTGTAAGAAAATGTCTACTTTCTTTTGTTTTTTAATTCCATGCAGAGTTGTTGGACAATGCTAGTCTAGAAATAATCATAACTATAACAAAGCCAAAATCTAAAAGAGTAAAAATATCTTAGTGTGTTAGTAAACTTTACTGGATAGTGTCTTTACTCTTGTCCTAACAAATGGTTATTAAAAAAACCTAAGCCAACTTTTTATGTATTAATTAATCATATAGTACTGTCAAAAACCATACAAAAACACTGTTATCTCTATATAAGGTGTGGAAACTTAACATTTTTTGTAATATTTTACAATTTTAAAATATATCAATGTTAATTTTACTTCTACATAGCATATTGGATTTTTAATAAAACATATTTCTTAAGATCATAACATTATAGTGCAATAGTTTAAAATAAAAATTTGTTCTCTAAATGACCTCAATATGTGATAACAGAGCAATGACCTGAGCTTTAAAATTCATGAGACAGAAAAACAACTTTAAAACCTGATATTTACTAATCATAATAATTTGTTTATAACCTATTTAATTTATACTTAATTTATTAAACAAAAATCACAATTTGACTAGTATAATACATTAAAATAAGCAATAAATTTGCAAGGAAAAAATTTGAAATCGTATTATTTAATTAATAAAATGTGAAATAGAGACAGGAAAGAGTTCAGAACAGGTTAAACTACAAAATGTCGTGAAAAACATAAAAACAAGGCAACCTTAGCGATTTCACGGTCAAGTGTAGCAATAAAAAAAATAAACATTCAAGGCAGAGACGAAACAAAGACTTGACACTTCGCGAATAAAAAATCAATGTTCCAAATACATTGTTTAAGATATTTGATGATATAAATACTACGACAATTTAGTTCGATATACAATCATTGCGTAAGCTTCCCTTTGAAAATACAACGCAAATAATTGACGTGAGGTAATAAACATAAGAAAAACTCACCAAGTACGAATTCCCAGGTATCACAACCCAGGGATCGCTCCGGGACGATTTCTAAATCCAACATCGTACACAAAACACTTAATAGACACTAAACTAACTAACTTTCACTTCAGAAAACACAATTTTAACGTTCATATGCGTTATTACGCTGCCTTTCTTTGTTTGCCAACTTTAGTTTTCAACCATTTTGTATTTGTCAGAGGAACTGTCATTACAAACAGCTGATTGTATTTTGTCAGGGAAGTATTCAAGGTTGAATTTTAACGATCATTTGTAGAATTAATTTTTCTCGGCCTATTCTTAGTTGCAACTAAGGATAGTTATCTTGTCTCGTAAGGGTATTGTTTGCTCTCGATGTTTTCTTTTATCAGTATAATAATAAAAGCCTGTCAAACCTTCACAATTGATTCAATTATGTAATATAAAAATTAGCAATTCGTAAGTTTTGACTATTAGTCAGATTCGATAATGTGTTAATTTAAATTTCTATAATCAAACGAGTCTTTTAATTCATTTAAGTTTCTTACACAATTCATTAATTAGATCAAACAAAATGTTATTACAATGTGCAAGTTTTATATTTTATATTTGAAAACACACTTGGTAATTAAAGATTAAAAGGTATAAAACAATTTTGCTATAGCAGTACATATTAAGTTTGTTATTTAATGCAGTAATATTTACACTTGTGTTTATTAACACTTGAATACAGCCCTGCAATGGCATAGTGACGCATGCGTACCAAAATGAAGATAAATTTCAATGTTGTGGAACTGTTTTATACATATCTCTTTCACACACGTTACTTTTCAAATCTGCTGTCTCTTTCGTTAAAGTTTTGACATCTTTCTTTCTCTCATTCTAAATGTATATATGTGTCCTTATCTAATAGAATAGTTTAGACAACTTTAAGATATTTCCATTGCTGTTCGTATTAATTTTTTATAGATTCATTGCTGGTATTGAACAGATATTAATGTAACAAGGTTAGCAAAAAAAGCAATGTATAACGAAAAATATCTATAAACACAATATGTGATTGTGTTTTTGTTTTGTTATATCTGAATCATGAATTTCTGTCAGACTGCTGGTCTACTTTATAAAACAAAGGATTATTATATTACAGTAAAATAACAATAGTTTCTGATGTAGTTTAAATTAAAAAGTGCTGATAGATTAACTTTTATTGTATGTTTACAAGTTTTGAATGATTCTGATGCTGATATATTGGTTCATTTCCCGCCATTAATTTTAACCTTCGTACGATCTCAACGCCCACACTTTCGACATCTAACGTAACTATTGTGTAAGAGTTGTTTATGCGGTCATATTTAAAATGCGTAGAGTTTCGCGCAAAATCATAATAAGCACGTTATAAAACGTATTGTTTTGTACGCTGGATGACCCACTTAATATTGTTTTAATTTATTTTTCATCTGACTTTACCGTTGTGTTATTTTTTATAAATCGTATGATTATCGAAATAAAACATTTTTGGCAGTACAAAAATCTTTTTTATTTGATATTTTAATGGAATTAAGTACATTCTAGTACTCTGCCTAATACTTAATCATTATCCGGTAAACAACCGCAAATATTTTAGGATAATCTGTCGAATTATGTTACTCTTTCTAAGGTGCTTTTTTTTCTTATTTATATGGCAGCATTTACTTTAAGGGTTCCTAAGTCCCATTAGTTCATAAAAAAACATTATTTTGACAATTTTCATCGGTTTAAAAATATCTACCTATCCTTTTTCTTGTGTTTAGACTTTTTATGTTTCGATTTGTGTTTTTTGCTTTTCTTTTTCTTATCCTTTTTTGATTTCAATTCTTTCGCTTCGACCCAAGAGTCCGAATCGGACGATGATTCATCTCTCTTTTCTTTATTTCTATATACAGGTTTAAAATCATTTACAATTATAACACTATCTTCAATATGTTTTTTCAAATTATCTGGTATTTTCGGACCATAAACGTTTGCATCTTCATTTGTTTCTGGAATGTTTTTAATTTCTTCATTGTCTGTGGTTTTATCTTTAGATTTCGTTTCGTTGTTTATTTTTGTCTCGTTTGTTTTATCTGTATTCCTTTTCCATGAATTAAGTTCATCGAAATCAATATTAGCGAAAATACCACGAGGCGGTGATGTATTTCTTTCGACGTTTTTAGGTTTGTCTATAAAATCATTTACGTCTGTTGTATTCGATTCATTTACTTCCTCATTCTCACTGTCGCTTAAAAATATCGATTTGTATAGATCCATTTTATCGAATTTATTTATAGTTTCTGTGACGACACTTTTTTCGTTGTTTTTCAAATCTATTTCCGATTCTTTTAAGAATAATTCTGCGACTGTCATTCTTTTAGTAAAACCAGTATTAATAGATGTTTGCGGTTCTATATATATCTTTTTCGCTGTTATTTCTTTTGGTTTTATCACAGTGTCGATACTAAGTGATTTTGAGCCGCTGAATTTTGTTTGCTCTTTTGTGAAGCTTTCCTTATCGTGTACGGAGGATTCTAAATAAGAGAATATTGAATACGAAACTTTGGGTTTATCATCTTTCTTGGGCTCGTCTCTGTAACAATACATAAAAATAAGTTATCTGTACTAATATAATAAAGCGTAAATACACTACTTAGTTATGTAGTTTGTCAACAATCATAGTATATTTTTAAATAATTCTTTTCAATAAAAAGCTACATTTATTACGCGTTTTATTCTATATATTTTCATGCTATTAAACTTAGGGAGTAAACAATTTGGAAAAACCTTAATGCGATAAAGTGATAAAAATTACGAGCTGACGACATCAAGGAAACAAGGTTACCATGGTAACGGTATTATCCAATATCAAATGCCTTCGTATTGTGCATTTGACATTTAAAATTTCACAAATATAAATAAAACAAAGTTTTTTTTAATTCTTACCTTGTTGTACCAGGTTCTGGTATATTAAACCTTTTGCATACCAAAGATTCCGGTCTCCAAGGGGTTTCTTTCCTGGTCATAGTACCGAAAGCACCGATCCTCGCCGCTTCTATTTGCTCGGGTGTTGCCAGACCGTAGCTATTTGTACTCTTAGCGACAGCGCAAAGAGGATTTATTCCGTCATCTGGCTCAGATGCGTGTGTAAATCTAAAACAATATAAACATTATTATTATAAATTATTTGTTCGCTGTTGCTTACGACTTCATCTGCTTGGAATTTAAAAAATACAGTAGAACCTCGATTAGTTAAAGTCCAAGGAAACACAAAATATTTTAAGTTACAGAGGTTTTGGGCTATGATGGAAGGGAACATATTATTTTTTGAAGTTATAGAGGTTTTTAATTTACCGAGGTTTGAGTTATCGAGGTTCTACTGTAGTATAAAATATAGTCTATGTTACTCATAACGTAGCTTTTTAATGGTGAAATTTTTGAAATCTGTCCAGTAGTTTTTGTTTTTGAGTTAATTCAATACATACAAAAATACAAAATTTCCTTTTTTAATACTATTATAGATTACATTAATAATATGTAAATTAGACTAGAACTGGTTTAAAATGTAATAAAACAGCAACACATCTGTGAATACGATTGTCTATGGATAGTCGTCGTTTTTAAACCCATGTACGAGGAGTTGTGGGCGTAAGCTAGTTACTTTATAAAATTTATTTAAAAAAAAACCCAAAGAATATAAGTAGATAATACCTTTCTTCCATAATCCCAGTCAAAGGTTTGTATAATTTTGCTGCTTGTTCGAACTCGGCCAACTCTCTGTCTCTTTCCCACTCACATAATCTATCATTAGTGCTATCTCTTTCTACCACAGTATCTCTATTTTTCAAATATTTTTCATATCTTGCCTGTTTTGAAGGATCACCGACGAACGGTTTGAAAACTTTTTGTATATCTTTACCGGAATCTTTTATAGAAATAAAATCTAATTCCGTTTTATTTTCCGTGGTAGAAATAAAGTTGACATTTCTACCGGCTATTTTAGTGATTGGATCACTTGTCTCTGATACGTTTGTTGTCTCTGGTATTATTGTTTCTGGTATCTTTGGTACGGGAGTTTCCCCCAGTAAAGCGCCTCTCGCTTCCGCTGTTAATTCATGGCGACCTAATCCTAAAGGAGTAAAAAAGTTTAAAAAAATTGCAATTTAATCTAGAATGGCTACTATTTATAACAGTCAAATTCTTTTGATTATAAATCACGCTTACAAATATTATATTAACATGGTTAACCAAGTTCGTATGTCAAGAAATATAATACGTAATTAAAAATGCGTCATTTTGGAATTGCTTTTGTCAGCGACTTCGTCCACGAGGAATTAAAAAAATGTATTAAAACAGCTGATGTCTTTTAATTTTTTTTTGGTATGTATTTTTACAAATGCATAGTCTGGCAGAACAAATACGCTACTTACTAAATTATTTTTCAATTCCACAGGGACGGAATCGCGGGCGACCACTTGTATATTATTTTATATTATAATTTGCTATTTGAAAAAAATCATTTATTCTAAAAATTAAAAATATACAATAAAATAAATATTAAAAAACCATTTTACCTTGATCTCTGGGCGCATGTGTTGTCGGTTCGAACCTGGTCCTCCTTGCGCCGGCGGGCGCGGGCGTGTAGTCACGAGGCAGCGCGGGGGCAGGGTACGACGGCACGCCAGGGAGGGGGACACTCGATTTTATGAACCCTGCTAACACCTATGACAAACAAAAGATTAACATGAATATAACAGTAAATAAGTAAAAATGTCAACAATTCTTTTATCCAAGTAACTTTTGTACGCGAATGTCCGTGTGGAATACAAAACTTATCAAACAGGATTTATCGAGATGTGAATTAACAAACATCCATCCATCCAAAATTACTAAAGTGTAACATTAGTATGAAATATCAATACGGAATATGCTTGTATTTTTTCTTTTTATAAACGATTCTACTTGTTATAAAATAACCTGAAAAAAAAAATGACGCGAAAATATTCATCCATTGAGCTAAAAATAATAAAATAAAATTACGACCATTTTCGAGCGACTAAAACGCGACCGGAGTTGTCATGACGATTGACGTCAATCGTCTTATTCCATTCATAACATACGCTCAGATGTCACTTCGACGTAAAAAACAAAAATAATTCTCCAGGTCAAAAATAGATTCATTTTTATTATTCCTGGGACAAATAAATGGTAATTAAAAATTCTATTCATTAATTTTTTATTTTAAAGTTGGTTTTGGTACCGTGTTTACAGTAAAATACTTCAAGAGTGTATTTCTATATAAACTAATGTAAATGAACTGTGTATTATCAATACAGCGACGCCATATTAGATAAGCCACTTGCTTCGACCAATAGTGTGCGTTTTAGAACTTAGCGAGGGAAATTAAAAAAAAAGACACTTTTTAATGATTAAATTCAGCCATTAAATCACATTATATTTAAAAAAATCTTTGCAGGACTGTTTTTATAGTAATAAAGTATACTTAAAAACAGTTTGGTACAATTTGGCGTCATATGCATATTGCCTATTTTTTTTCTGGTTATTCTATAACAAGTAGAATCGTTTAAAAAAAGAAAAAATACATGCATATTCCCTATTAAAAAAAAAAACAGAAAGGAAAATACCCTATACATTTTTCATTTATGTTTACTTACATTATTATTCTTTGTATTAGTTTTCTTAGGTATATCTTTCTCCGGGCCGCTTAATGCGAAGTCATAATGCGACATGTCCGCACTCGCGTAGATATCGTCGTCGTCCACTTCGAAGGCGCCAACACCGAACGCCTGACCGCGTATAGATACCTATAATAAGAAAAATGAAAATAAATTTAGTACTACTACTAGATTTCGCCCGTTACTCCGTCTGCATGATTAAAAAAATAAAAGTTACTACTCTATGTGTTCTTCCAGACTATCCTCTACATATATGCCAAATTTCATTGAGATCCGTTCAGCAGTTTAGGCTACAAACTCTAACAAACATCCATCCATCTACACTTTCGCATTTACAATATTAACACATTACTCAGTGATAATCTAGCTTTCTAATATTGAAAGAATTTTTGAAATCGTTTCAGTAGGTTTCGAGTTTATATGTTACTAAAATAATTTTTTTTTCTTTATATTAGTACTTGCTGTTTCCATGAAATTATAAAAACTTTATTTTATTGTTTACATTTATGAGATTTTCAATTGCAAATGTCAAAATTCAAATGCACAAATGACAACAAAGGCTTTTGATATTGGATAACAATTACCGTTACCGTTCCTTTCCCGCATGACGTTTTTTCTTAGTATTTACTCCCAAAGTTTAATAGCGTGAAAATATTTAGCCTGAAGCTTATCGTAAATGTTATTGTAAGTGTATCTGTAGAGATACATCAGAATTATTTTTTATTATTTTTTCTACCTTGGGTTATCAAGGTTAAGTGTTATGAATATTATTTTGATATTCGAAAAAATAAAATTCTGCCAAGTTAAGGGTTAAAAAAAATGTAAAAAAATAATATGCTAATTAAGAAAGAAGAGTGTTTAGAGTTAGAAAAGATATAAATTAGTCAATTCTTTTGCTACTAACCTTTTTTCCTTTCTCTTTCATAGAAAGATGACTTCTCGATGTACCAGCATCTCCATATTCTCCTACTAAATTACCAAGAACAGAATGTCTGCTTAATCCACTATATCCAAGGCCGAAGCGATCGTTTTTACGCTGCAGAATATAAGGCTCATAATCGTCCGGAGCGAATAATGTGTCATAATCTATTTCTGAATCAGAACTATCTTCGTCTTGGGATGGATTCTCCTGGAATAGGTAAAATTATGTTTTTAACTAAAACAATACTAATTTTTTAATGAAGTAGCTGTTGCTTGCGACTTCGCCCGTGTAATAGCCTATGTTATTCACACATAAATTATCTTTCTAACGGTGAAAGAATGATCAAAATCAGCCTATTAGTTTTTGAGTTATGTCAATACATACAAAATTAAAAATCTTTCCTCTTTATAATATTAGTATAGATTCAAAATAAACTGATGCCATTGGCGTCCCCAGCGGATGATCTGGGGGTCAGGCTGATTATCAAGAGGGGTAAAACTAATTATTTATTCCAAAGAGAATACTAATCAACATTTTTCATAACTCAATGTAAACTGACAAGTCTTTTTTGTTCTCTATGTGGATTGCTAGGGATTCTAGTGTTTCAATTTCATTTTTAAACATATTTTACAATTTTCAAATCACTAGCATAATTTTCTTCTTCAAAGTTAGAATATACCCAAGTTATAATCAAGTATTATTCTTACATTCCTCATATCCGGTGGCATGTAACATCCATACACCTTATGCTGTTCTTTAGCTTTCTTCTTCTCTGCCTTAGCGAGTCTCTCTCCCGTACCCTGACCTTCCCGCCAGCCCATAGCTCGCAGCATCCTGACAGCTGCTGTATCATGTACTGGACGGATTAATTGTTCTAAAACCGGTTCACCTGGAAAGAGTAAAGACATATAGACTAACAGCCTTAATTTGTACTGATATTTGCTTATACTCAGTTTATTCCTAGGTTTAACTTTATACCGCGTTTATTTGTAAAGCTGCTAATGATTAGACAATATAGTATTAGTTTTTGCTCTTAGCTGCGTCCGCTAGGAATTTAAAAAAAAATGTAGTCTATGTGTTCTTTAAGACTGTGCTCTACATCTATGGCAAATTTAATCAAGATCTGTTTAGCAGTTTAGCCTACAAACTCTAACAAACAAATTATCTATATAATCCTTTGCATACCTTAGTAGAATACGATTGAAGGTTCAATCTATATCTATGCCAATATTATAAAGAGAAAAGATTTGTATTTATGTAAAAACTACTGGGCCAATTTAGAAATTCTTTCACCATTAGAAAGGTAATTAATCTTTTTTTTATAATATAAGGTGGCAAACGAGCAAGCGGCCACCTGAATCCGCCAAAATGGCGAAGCGACCGCTGCCCATAGACATCCGCAATTGCAGATGCGTTGCCTACCGACAGAGGAGGAGACGCACATAAAGAGGACTATTCCTCCTCCTATGCCTCTACTCGACCGTCAAATCCAATTTTCCTTCCAATCTTTTCCTCTTAAGAAAAGGATGAAAAGGGAAAGGGAAATAGGCCTCCGTGCACCACATTCATCAGACGAAACGCGTAATTACTTCCACTTCACGCCTGTTTTCTGTGTGGTCGTGGTATTACACCGGGCAAGCCGGCCCTGCAGTGCGAAATGTTAAAGCGGGCTCTATCACTGTTAAAAATCTGTAAGTAACACAGGCCATGCTTTTTATTATCTAATAATTTCACGCAGACAAGGTCGCAAGCAATAGGTAGATATTAAGTAATTTCTTAACATAAATACCTGGTATAGGTCCATCGAAAAACTGACGCCGTTGTCTCTTCTGACCTGAGAACTCTTTTTGAGTCTCCAATTGTCGCGGTGCTATACCAAATTCATCGCGATCCTCATCATCCATAAAATCCTCTGGTCGTTGACTCTGAAATATTCAATACATTCAAAAGTTTAAATTTTTTAATGTAGTTATGTGTTATGTGTATGTCAGTACACCCATGAGTGTCAAGAATGTAGAGAAAAATGATAAAACCATTCCAAAAGAATAAAATAAGTGAACAGATGCACTGAGAAATAATCTTACTAATATCATAAATGCGAAAGTTTATATGGATGGATGTTTGTTAGAGTTTGTAGCCTAAACAACTGAATAGATCTCAATGAAATTTGGTATAGATGTTTAGCATAGTCTGGAAGAACATATAGCCTAATTACTTTTTTAATACCATGAGGATGAACTCATAGGTGGAAGCTAGCATTTATATAATTACTTTCATGTGCGACACCTTCTGCTTGGTAGTAAAAAAAACAAAAGAAAGTAGCCTATGTGTTGTTCAAGATTTTAATTTGGGCCAAATTACATCAAACATCAATGCAAATTTAAAGAGTTTTTTTTTACTTTCAAATTATAGCACTACTCTATTATCCCTTAATAAAAACAAAACATTTGCTGGCTGTAATAACTATATGATTAAATGATACTTACAGAAATTGTCGCCTTTTCGGAACGAGAACTTTTAAAACTGGCCGGTGCCCATCCTTCTGGTGTTCCAACTGTGTTCCCAAAGCCAGCAGAGAACCCTCCAGTGAACGCACCATGGAACCTTCTTCGTCCGTGTGCATCCACCGCATATTGATCTGCTGGCTGTTGGAATTTTCTTTTTGCTGGCACTTCATCTTGAAATACAAATAATTTGGGAGTTAATTTTCTTATACGAACGTTTTAAATAGCGTTAAACACGTATACGTATTTCAATATATTTAAAACAGAATTAAAAGTTTATCTTTCATAATAAATAATAAATAATCGGCCACTTCGTACCTTCTTCATATGGTTCAAGCGGTGTTCCATAGCGAATAACATTATCTTCGTCCGAATCCGAATCACTCATTATTTCCTATTGGTCACAATTTTTTGGATTTACCGTCTACGAATCTTAATTTAAATTAAATATTTTATAGAAAAATATAAACATAACCTTATTTCGTCTTTTGACAGTAGTCTATTTTTCAAAGATCAAAGGTTGCGATTTGCGATACAATTTACCTAAGAGTATGTTAGCAGATGCATGTAAAAAATAACAAAATCATTTAAAAACAAAATAAAAACGCGCTGTGCAACATCCGTACATCTTTCGGGGTTGTAGGATATTCAATAAAATGCATTCTTGTAATTTACATTTATTATGAAGAAAAATATTTACATTTGATTCTTAATGGCTAAACTTGCCAAGTTATACCTAACGATATAAATTGCAAAGTTGCAAATATGATTTTCTAATCCTTACCAACTATTGTACTGATTTAATTTCCATGTACATCCAGAAGACATTTCATATATTAAGATAAGACTAAATAAATAATAAGAAACTCATTTCCATTGCACACATTATGTAGATAGTTATATAAATATCTAACAGACAGTAGAAAAAATTCACCTTATTGTACCAGATCCAAATAGTTTTTCATCCATCAACATATCACTGATATAATGTTGAATCTTACCAAGAATTTTAAATCTATCATCACTATTTAAACATTCATTCAACAGCTTGTCTAAATACGGTCGCGAGGCGTTGATATTTTTCGGTATAGGATAGAGTAAAGGATTATCCTCTCCTCCGATAATATAACAAGCCGCCCACAAATTGTGATCACTCAAGTGATGTTTACACATGTTTTCTATAGAAAATGTGAATCCTGGTCCGATAAGTTCTCTGTTGTAACGCTGGTACCATTCTGGTAAATCTTTCTTTGGTGATATATGCTTATCAAGAACGATAACATCTTCTAAATCAACGAACGAAATCTCATCATTGTCATTCACAACAATGTTATCAAGTGACCAATCCATTAAATAAAAACGGAACCTGAAAAAGTATAAATAATCTTAGATTTAAATTAAGACAGTTGTACCTTTACATTATCATCGGTGACACCAGAGAGGATGATGATGATGGGGTCATCTACCCCTCATCGACCAGGAAATTGTAAACTAAATAAAAAAATCAAGTGTTAAAATGTTTTTTTTTTTTCATTTCATTTTCTCTTTAATTCTGTTTCAAATATGGATATTAAATAATGGCACAGATAGTACAGTATGGCACCTTATCTTTATCGTCACCCCCTCCTTTGGCCATCAGCCTACCCTACCGTGGTCATTAGCTAGCAATGCCCATACTATGTTTAGCTTAATCTATTTGGTGGAGGTAAACCTAGAAAGAGATGGATTAACTACCTGAAAGGTGACATGATCAAGAAGAGAGTGATGACTGAGATGACTGATGATAGAGTTATTTGGAGGACGAAACCCCGGAGCACCGATCCTACAGGAGTAGGATCTAATTAAGCTATTCATAAATAATATTTTAAAAAGTCCATACCTGTCATGTTTAAAAGTAAAATCCATCGCTGCTTCCAGAATCTGTTTAGCAATCTTCAGTTTTCTATGCCATTCAATATGTGTTAATGATGAAATTGGTACTCCTTCATAAGCAACTACCTCTAGTCTTCCACACACACCGGCATATGCTGGTACAGGCCAACCTTGAGATTTTGGCAGAATCTGGAAGATAATGTGATTTTACCTAGTTACATTTATCTATGGTCTATACAAGTACTATAAAGAGGAAAGATTTGTATTTTGCGTGTATTTGATTCATGTAAAAACTGCTGGGTCAGTTTATTCATTCTTTCACTATTAGAAAGGTAATTTATCTGTGAGTAATATAGCTCATATTTTTTAATTCCTTGCAGATCAAGTTGCGAGCTCCAGTAATTACTTTTTAAAATGCATCTTAAACAGAATTGCAAGTATAAGGACTGAATTTTCAACTTCTCTTAAAGTTAATATAAATCTTTTATGTAAGAATTAAAATCATTTTGAAATTATATCCTACTTTACTTTATTTCCTAGTGCATGATTTTTTACCTGCAAAATAATGGGTTCTGGATTAATACTGAGCATTGTCCAGATATTCAACATTTCAGACTTATAGTTTAATTTCCTATTTTCAATTAGAGGTTTTATAAGATCATGTATGCTATATGCATAAGGGCACAATACAAGTCCCTTACGAGGTTCAGAATCGGGCCAAGTAAAATTATACTGTACAATATTAATTATTTTATCCTCAACATTAGATGTATTAATAAGGTGAATTGGTTTGCAGGTTTCTTCCAAGTTCCATTTCTTGCATAAATTAGAATCAAACTCTTTAAATTCCCAATCATGAGCTAACTTCTTTAAAATAACTTTAATTTTAGATTTTGTGGACCCGTAATAAATATTTTTGGCATTAAATGCTAGTGACCAATGACCCCCAGTTTCAAGGTTTATCTGGTTTGAATATAATTCGGGACATATTGATACCCCATAACAAGCAGGGCAGCGGTGTAAATCAGTTATATGAATTATTTGCGGTGATTTTAAGTTACCAAACAATAATATGTAAATGTAAAAAGATGCTGCAAGCACAAGGATCGCGCAAACCCCTCGTTTACAATATCTACGTCTAAGTAACATTATTCTATACATTTTATCCTTCATAATACTAATTTAGCTGGAACAGTTAATTTAATTTAATATCCTTCAATTTTTATTTTCTACCGGCGTAATTTATTTTTTATAATCACATTTTGACGGTGTCAACTGACATCTGTCATACGATATCCGATCCGACCCGACAGTTAGAGACAGAGGCAGAGTCCAAGCAGAGTCCGTAGAGTAAATTGTGTTAATTGTTTTTGGGGTTTTTGAACGTTTGGTTTTAATGAAACAAACTCGCATTGATTCGTTAGTTTAACTACATTTCATACGTTTAATCTTATTATAAAATGAACATTTTCATACAAAAATTGAGGGTTTTTAATAAAGTAGATTGAGAAGTTGTTTTCGGTACCTTTTTCTTGATTTAAAAAATAACAAAAGATCATTCCTTTTAGGTAAAAAGTAAAAATAAATTTGATATTTTTACTCTTTGCTACCGCTCCGTTTGCAAATTATGGATAACAAATTCTTTTAGGACACGTGTACTTACTTGAAATTACATCAAGTTTCATCACAGGACGTTTATTTATTATCATATGATTCTCTTTCATATCAATTATTAAGTAGTGAGTCAGTTTTGTTATTACAGTTTTGTGCTCCTGTGTTCACTATGTCTGAATTTAAAGACTGGTATTATAGTGTACCCTTCTTCACAAGATACTGGCTATCGTTTACGATAATTTTAAGTTTAGTAGGTCGATTTGGAATAATCAATTACTACAATTTGGTGTTGGACTTTTATCCTTTCATCAATCAGTTCCAAGTAAGCTTTTATTTTATATTTAAACTGTTAATAGCAATCACCAGAACAAATTGCGGTTTCTATTTACGTTCAGGAAGAAGTACAAAATAATTAAGATCAAAGTTAAGTTTATTCAAATAATGTAATTGATATGATATACTTTTTTCTAGATATGGAGGCCACTAACAGCATTATTCTTCTATCCGATTGGACCAGGCACTGGTTTCCATTTCCTGATAAATTGTTACTTTCTGTACAATTACTCTCAGAGATTGGAAACGGGAATATTTGCAGGAAAACCAGCAGATTATTTCTACATGCTTCTGTTTAATTGGGCTTGCTGTGTTGTTATTGGAATACTGGTTAATTTGCCTGTGAGTTAAATTTAATTTTATAATAGTGTAAGCTACAATATATAAATGTTTTAAACAAAGTTAATTTAAATAGGGTATTGAAAGCTAAAAAGTAGTGTTTTTAATAATCCTATTACATTCATCAGAGTAAGTATGTTTTAATGAATATTTTCTTTATTTACAACAATATTATACAAAGCATTTACAATGCTACTTGTTTAAATGAATCATAATATATCTGACTAGTTGTTGCTTGCGACTCCTGCAGGAAAATAATAAATAAAGCCTATGTTATTCACAGAATACATTTCAAATGGTGAAAGAACTTGTAAAATCTACACAGTAGTTTTTGAGTTATTCCAATACATAAAATACAAACAAATCTTTCCTCTTTATAAAGTTAGTATGGGCTAGCTTTTGATCGGGACATCTATGCAAAATCTTACTCAGTAATAAAGCTTTCTAATGGGAAAAGTTTCAAAATTGGTTCTTTGCCCATTCAATCAAGTCTTTCTTTTCTATATTATTGTAGATATTAGATATAACCTTAGTAATTATTTATTTAATCACAGTTATCCATTAAAAGTTTTTAGATATGTATTTTTTTGTTTTTTTACAGATATTAATGGATCCAATGGTATTATCAGTGCTTTATGTATGGTGCCAACTTAACAAAGATGTAATTGTGTCATTCTGGTTTGGAACACGCTTCAAGGCAATGTATTTACCTTGGGTTCTGCTTGCGTTCAACCTTGTTCTAAGCGGAGGGTAAGTAGCATCTTACTTCTTACTAATATTATAAATACGAAAGTTTGGATAAAAAGTCTAAATAGTCTAAATGGCTGAATAGGTCTTAATAAAATTTGGTATGAAAATAGAGGGTGGTCTGGAAGAACACATAGGCTACAATCACTTTTTTTATTTTGTCGACGACGTCACAGGCGAAAGCTAGTTGAAAAAAAAATTTTTTTTGCTAGTTTTTACTAAATTCCATATTTAATTATTTGTGAATTATGTTTATAATCTTTTACAGTGGAATGATGGAACTGCTCGGTATTCTGATTGGTCATGTGGCATTCTTCCTTCTATTCAAGTACCCACAAGAGTTTGGTGGTCCCGCCTTATTAACACCTCCAGCGTTCCTGTAAGTTTATTTTTAATATTTCACTCAAATTTACTCGCCTACTTATTTTTATCGACAATAATACAAGACGGTTTGGTTTACACTTTTTTATTTACAAGATTAACAGTATATGCAAGATTTGTTACAAAATTACTGCTATACATACGAGTTGTTAATGAGTAAATAAAGTAATTTTAAGGCCATTATAGACATTTGGGCAAAACTGTTAATTCAATCAGTAAAAAAATTTCAATAGGTACTTAACTGTATAGTTTCGTACAGTTTGAATTTATGGATTAGGTGTAAGAGTAGATTTCTCATACTAATATAAATTACTACAGTATAGAAATTTATATGTGAGGTAACTAAGTAATGTATTTTTTAGGAAACAAATATTTCCGGATACACGATACGTCGGGGGTTTCGGTACAGCGCCTCAAGCGAGGGTGCCGGAGCGACCGGCTGGTGGTGTAGTCTTTGGCCGTCACAACTGGGGCAGAGGGCAGACGTTGGGAGGGAACTGATTGAGTACAAAACTTTATTTATAGTGAAAGTGAATATGACTCTAGTTTTATCACAATTGGATCTTTTGAATGATCTATTCATAGTTCATAGTCATGATGACAAAAAGCAATATTTTTAAAATTTTGAGAAATAAATATATTTCTAAGTTATGAATTGTTAATGCTAATTCAAGATATTTTCCTTAACTAAGAACACTGTTAAAATAAATTTTATAATATCAGATGCAAATGCGAATACTCATGTTAAGCTGTTCTTTCAAAAATACAGCTATGGGCGAAAATTTGAATAAACCCCATATGGGTTTTTTACTGGGTTCTGTTGTAACAAAAATATAAAAAGGCCATCAGAAACCGTCTTAACCCAGATAGCGGGCATTCCTGAATGGTGCCAGAAAGGCCAGCAATGCATCTGTGGTTCCTCTGGTGTTGTGGATTTTGGGCATCATTCACCTTGGTGTTATAAGCTTGTTTGCCTCTTTCTCTTTTAAAAAATAATGCCCTCTCTCTGTCCCTTTTAGAAAAGAGAGATAGCAACATGTTTTAGAAATAGCAGGGAAATTCTGTAGTTTTTGTGAAATTTAAACATAATGAAATGTCGCATATTTATTAAGTTATTTTTGTAAATAATTTACGTCAAAAGATAAAACGTTATCTTTGTTCTCATTTAAAAATAGAGTCATTTTATATTGTTATAATTTTTATACATATTAAATGAGTACAGATAAAAAAATATTTAAATCACATATTTCTTAAAGAGTACTTACTCTTTGTCTTTATTAAGTGAGATAGAAGATATCTCACTCTCACCTTATGAGTCCTCCAAAAATGTTTTTGTACTCCACTATATTAATATTTTAACCAAAAACGATATATGCATTTATTATTTGTAACAAGTACAGTCTTCTCTTTAAACGTCTTGCAAGAAAAAAAAGATATTATCATTATTAAAAACTTTAAATATTATTAAAAAGATATTTTATTTTATGTCAAACTAACAATGTTATAAAGAACAATAATATTATTTTTTCAAATTCTATTTTAAACTTCTGTTTATTTTAAATATGACCTCCAGTTTCTAGAAAAAGATGTACATATGGTCTAGGAGATGGATTTAACTATAACATGGAAATAAAATACTACTAAAAATTTGAAATGTAGTTTTCTTTACAATCTTCTACTTTTGCCAAATTATTTATTGTACAATAATGAACTTTTATATTTATTTAATTCTTTCGCACAAATATAACAATACGAAACTATAACGGTGCAATTGTAAAGCTTCTTTAAAAAGTATAAAACAACTTTGACAAGTCACAGATTGTTCCAGTATTATAAACAAGGTTTAATTTCAATATTCAAACAATAAAACAAAATGTAAATACCAATTACTTTACTAATATACAATGATTGTTTTTTTAATGGTGTGTATCATTAGGGTCAGGTTTTCCATATTCCTTCTCCCACATTGCAATAAATTCCTTCTTCCTTTGTTCACGTTTCTTAAAGTATTCAGGATATTGGGCTTTTTCCAACGGATGCCAGTAGTCGAGAACCCAATCAGGAGGTATTACTTCACGCTCGTACGCTACTCCGCCTGGACTTTTGGCAACTGCAACAATTTTTTAAGGTTTTTGTACACTGTTTATTACAAATTCTATGATTAATTTTCCCATAGTATTGTGTATTATATGTTTAGCTGTGATAACTTGATGTGATAAGTTTGTACTTATTGTCATGCAATAAAGTGTAGAAAAATGATATCAGGAATTTGTAGGAAACTGCACAAGATCACCACTTATTTTTTGCTGTTATGTCAAATTAACTTAACAAAAGATAGTATTAACTAAAAGTAATTATCAAGGTTCTTACATTTCTTGGGTATAGGATGTTGTGTTAGGAAAAGTTCTTCCTCTCCCTGTTTCAACATTTCCGCAGCCTTACGAGCATCTTTTTCGTTAATCATCTTCTCGAATTTCTCACGACAAAGTACAGCTTGGTAGCGGTATACATGGCTAAGAGACAAAAACAACCATCAAAAACATTTTCTATATTTGTACTTAATAACTAACTTAATTACATTATAATGACAAGTTTACTTTACTTAAAAATATCTTATTTTTACTACTACTTATGAGTTACATTTAAATTTTTTTTTTCTACTCTGATGTATTGAGGTTATATATTAACTAAATACAATTCGAAACATTGTCAAATAATAACCTTCGCAGTATCCCTGCATCTGAGAAAGTAGAGAATTATTATGAAACATTAAAATTAGTTCAAAATAAAACAGAACAATTACGTAATGTGAAGGGAGTTTAGATGAAAATGGTAACAATTTTGACATCTTACCGTCTATCATAAAACGATTCTAAATTCCGCAGCGTCCTTTTGTAAAGACTACATATTTTTTGCACTTGAGTTGTTATTCCAAGTGGAATATTCGACATATTTGTTAAATGTTTATCAGAATTTTATTGATTTTGATTTTTGATGGAATACGAACTGTCTTTTTGACACATGACAGCTAAGGACTTCATAACGATGTTGCCATAATAATATGGGAAACGTCTTGTAAATGTCTGAATTTTTGGATAATTGCGGAAGTTAATTAGTATTTATCCATGATGTTAACAACAATAGCAATATAGTCTTGATTTTTAAATAAGCATGACTTATTTCACATGTTAGACAAAGTATAATAAAATATCCAAGAAAATGTAGAGAAGAAAAGCCTTGAACCAAGAAACTTTTCTCATGTATTTGTTACAAGGATGCTTAAACACGCATATTGAGATTGCACTTTAAACGTTTAATGTCAGGAAATTACAGTTTTCGTATCTTGCTAACGGACATTTTACAAACAATGCTCCAAAAGCAATAAGTTGAAATCCGTAATATCTGGCTACCCTTTAGAGAAACTTGCTTTAACTTGTATTATCGTTTGTAAAATGACATGTTATAAAATATTGTCCCCCGTTTCAGTTGTAAATTCTGGATTTGCTACTTATTCTATTCTCTAACCCTAAAGTGCTTCTCTACTTAAAACGTTTAGCGTTTTTTGCGATTATGTAATAGATAGTACTATTTAAAAGTAAATGTAGAGAGTTTTAAGCATATTAGTCTAAAACATTTTATTCCTAAAACTTATTGTGGCGTGTGCTAAGATATACAATCAAAAAGGCATTACATTATTAAATGCAATCACGAAATAAAACCATACCTCGAGCAACATTAACGGGGTCAAAGAAAGTTAGAAAAACGGACTCGATGAGATGACTAAAGTGGACCGGTCGCTGCGACTGCCGCCGAGTAACATTGACTGGATCTTACATGGCGGGAAAGATTATAACCCCACTTGTAAAATTATTTTTTTATTTAGAAAATTGAAATCCATAAAATAGCTGTTTAGTAGCAACTATTTAACAATAAATCTCCACAAATATAAATCGAATAAAATCAAAATTAAAAATGGCTATGTATTTAGTTATATAAATTAAATAGAAATTAGAATGTACCCATTTTAAACTACCGTTCTCAGAGTTATTTAATAGTCACTCAAACAGACTCCTAATGTAGATTTCTCATCGATTCGAGAATCTTAGTGACCAGTATCAGAAGAGTGGGAAATAAGTGATTAATTTGAAATTCGTATTTCATAGCAGCTAGTTTGTTTTGTTTTTAATTTTTCGTAAAGTGACATTTCCAATCATGGCAACGGATAATTTGTGCAAGGAGGTTCAAGACTTACCGCTTTTACATCGTCAACCAGCCAGTATTGGCCAGTGTTCGGTCGACACTCGGAGCGGTGTGTACCATCGCTCAGAACGACTTAAAAAAATAATTTAAAAAAAATCGCGTCGTTCCTTTGTGCTCTTATTATTTTTTACTTGAAGTAAATAAAAGTGATATAACTTACCCAACTTTCTACTGAACTGGATTATTTATTCCTGGTAAGATGGTTTATTATTTATTTATTTTTTTAAATATTATCTATATCTTACTTTCTCGAAGAAAATTTATCTACAAAAAATTAGCTGGGCGCAGTAGTTTCTATGAGTTATCACAAAATTATAAAGAATCATGATTTTATACTCCGTAACACTATTTAGTAAAAAAAACTTCTTGTTTGATGCCTGTAAACTTTTTCTTCAGTTTTTATAAATCTTGTGAAACTGTTAACACTTCGAAGACCCCCATTTCTATCTTCAAAGATGATTTTCCTTATATCTTGACTAACACTAAACTGTCTAAGGCTAAAAATATATAAATCATTGAAATAAATCTTACGATTTAATAAATATTGAATCAGAAACAGAAAAAAACATTACTCAAGAAATTCACAGCCTAGAAGGACTATAAATTCGAATTTTAAAATTACACTGAGTACATGATACGGAAATTAGGCGCAAACAAAGCCTGAGCAAAGTCGAAGCGCGCTTTATGAGTTCCAGCCTTAGTCCCTTGAATCTGTTAAAATATTCACTAAGGGAACTTAGTAACCATTTAACGTCTCTGTGGGGATTATTCCCAACCGTCACTCCGCTCTGTCCCCACGTGGGAATAAAACGTTTCATCCGTCCCACCTTTTAGTCCCACTATCACCAATATGGTGATAAATGAAACTGTTATGAAATAAAAAAGTTCCCTAGTCCCCTAGTCGCAAAAGGTAGGACCGATGAAACTTTTTATTCTCATCTGTCTCTACGTGGGGATAGAGTGAGGTGACGGTTGGGAAAAATCCATCTGTAGGTGGCATTAAGAGTTTTGTTGATCATATATTCATAAATATATACCTCATCGTGATTGTGACTAAATAACGTCTACTATTATGTAGTAAGAATTAAAAAAAATAAAAGGTCGACCACTTTTACTTTTTTTATTCTGACAACTTTACATTTTTTTTGTGTCTGAATTGCCACTGTTTGCCTTGAAGAGGCATTTACAGCTTCACCGGACTTGAGGTGACCGAGCGCAGAGGCTCTTAGCCTAAACCTCGTTTATGAGTAACTGAAATCAAGGGCTCCCTCAGGAGCCTCGGCTCGGGCCGTTGCTTCGTTTTTATTATCGCATTGGGTAACAACTTAACACTGGCAGTTGTTTATATACACGTTAATTGTATGTCACAGTGTATACTGGCAATATTTACACAATGATTTTTATACCCTTTTCGTAAATAAATGCCAAGGTCTTTATACGTTATAACCATACTTCACAGTCAAATTAACAGGATATTACTGTTTAAAATAGTCACCTCTGGACTTTAAAAGGAAAGTTATGTCCACTAGAGCTTTAAAGAATGAGGAATAAAAGTCGATAATTAAACCTAAATTTAAAAAATCCCAATAACCGATAACCAACGGGTAACAAGTAACTTATAATTTAAAAACGAAAATTATACGAATCGTAACACTGAATAAATTGCTTAAGCTATAGGAACCCGTGAAAATTATTACTTTCGTCTCAGTCACAAGTCGCAAACCTTGTTACTTACGAGTAGCGTAGTGTCTCGACTCTTTGACCTTTGGTATATAGTTAAATGTCTTTTGCAGTATATATAAATTGCAGATAAAACTATATTTTTCCTTCAAACCATGTTCTTAAAAAAGTTAACTTTTTTATTATTTATACTTGTAATTCTTTAGTTTTTTTAAGATGTAGAACATAGTAACGATTGCATGTTATAACTGGCAGGCTTATTAATAAAACGATTATATTTTAATCGATGATGAACCATAAATCCATAATTATTTTTTTATGACATTCTCCTAACTACCGTACAGGTTATAAAATTTAATGATTTTTTTATAGCACCAAACGTTTATTTTTCTATTTTTTTAACAAATTGTAAAATTGCTTTATTTTACAAAATTGCAAAAAAAAAAAAATTTAACCTACATATTTTTTAAGAAAGTTCTATTGTAGCAAAAACTAATTACTCTATAAAATTTTTCGTCTGTGACACTTACCATAGATAAAAAGTAGTCTATATATTCTTGTCAAGCAAAAATAGTAGGCAATAAATTGTGGACTTTCGAATACTTCAGTACCTAAATGCAACATTTTTCATTGTCCGTTAAAATTTCACCTTTTAGCTCGCGGTCGATGAATTGGGTCTAACCGAATTCGACATAACGAAAGTGAAATCAAAGCTCTCACTTTTGTATGTTAAAGTATGGAAATATATAGTTACAGCAAAACTTTTTGTTACTGTTTGCATTTAATACATTTATAGTTTCACAAATGTAATTCCTATTATTTACGCAAAACAATTATTTTTTTTGCATACTTTGGTTATTGACCGACTTCCCAAATGAAGTCAGTCAATGTAGATTCATTACTAAAAACGTTACTATACTTTCAATTGTCAATTGTTATGGTAAAAATGTAGAAAGCCTTACGTAGAAATATCACTGCATACCTTGGCTGACACCGACATCAAATAATAATAATTGTACAATATAGACATTATAGCTACAATAAGGGAGGTTTACTATTTTCAAGGAATTATTTCGTTACTTTTTAGTTTACAGTTTTTTTTGAGAATATTTTGTTTTTGTTGCTTTATTACAAATTTCCACTGTGAATTATTATTCATACCATAAAGTAAGAGAAATTGAGACAAATATATATATATTATCTACTATAATTCATAATTAAAATTAAAATAATAAGTACACTCGTCATCAAAAAAACTGAAAGCTGCTCATAAAGGCTTTGATTTTCATTCAAAATTTTTCCTGAAGATGAAAACGGCGTAGATTTGATGCTGGTTTACAAATCTAGTGTTCTCTTCCATACCTGTCTGATCGATCTATGACGAGTTGCGTATTAATTAGCATTACATATTACGTAATAGTAGAAACAGTGTCGCCTCTATTTGGTAGTCATTGGAAATTGTCTATGGTAATGTGTACAGAGTGACAAGGTTAAAAAATACGTGTCTTACGCTAAACGATTCCACTAATTTTTCTATGAATACATTATTGTCATCCCTTACATTATTTTTGGAAAAACAGAGACAGACATATTTATAACTTTACTTTTGCTAATATTATAAATGCGAAAGTTCAGATGGGTGTTTGTTAGAGTCTGTTGCCTGAATTACTGAATGGATCTCTATGTTTGACATAGATGTAGAGGATAGTCTAGAAGAACACATAGATTACTTAATTTTTTTTCAATTCCACGATGACGGAGTCGCCGGCGAAAGCTAGTTATAAATATCATAGAAGTCGAAACCCAGACTTATATGCAATTATTGTTAGCTGTTCATTTATCTATCCTAATATAATTAACATCCTTCTTTGTTGTGTATGATATCAGGAATCACAACATGTTTTATTTTAATAAATATTTTTTTGGTTATAAACCCCTACACTAACAACACACTTTATATATCTTCACGCTATGAAGTTAAAGGTAAGTATATCATACGAAATTGCGCTACAAGAAAGGGACATAATCTATAAGTCAATACTAGCAAATAATTTTTAAACGTAGGTAGGCAAGGAGAACATTAAAATAAAATTTTGTAATGTCACGGTAACAACTACTAAAACAATACGTGTAAGATTAACAAGTTATACAAATACGTAAACGAGAAATATGTAAGTACATAACTACATTCCAAATTTATTAACATACCTAATGTACAATCAATATTTGCGGATAACTATGATAGGGCATTTTAAATGGAATTTGAATGACGAATATTTTGCAAAATTATTATGTCTGCGTCTCCAGATTGGTTGTACAATTTTGTTACTTTCTTAGTTTGAAAAGATCTGTTTGGATTATTGGATACTAGCTGTTGCTCGCGACTTCGTCCACATGACATTAAAAAAAGCTGTTACTTACTGTTGCCTTAGCTTTTTAATGGTGAAAGATTTTTTGAAATTGGCTTAGTAGTGTTTTAGATAGTCCAATAAATACAAATGTACATAAATACAGATCTTTCTTCTTTATAATATTAGTATACATCTATACTATTATAATAAAGCGTAAACACACTTTGTTGCCTAAGATGTCAGAAATCACAGCATATTTTTGAATAATTCTTTTCTTAATAAAAAACCCCACACTTACGTCACGCTTTATGCTATATATTTTAACTCCATTAAACTTAGGGGGTAAATATTTTGGATTAAAACCATAATGAGGGAAAGAGACCATAAGTTGCTGCCAACATCAAGGAAGCAAGGTTGTCATCATGTCACGTCACTTTGACATTTGTAATTGATAATTTGACACAAGTAAATAATATTTTTAATTTTCTATAATATTTTTATTTTTAATTCGCACGGGAACAGCTTGTTGAACCAATATTTTGTCAATACGGCGATTGTAGTTATAGCGTATGTATCCTATTTTAAACTCACTTTCTAAAGGTGGAGAGTCGCAATTCGTCTGTTTTCTTTTGTTTTCAGAGTTCTATTTAACACAAACGAAATTTGTCACTAAAATATTAATTTATAATGGTACAAACAGCAACAAACTACGTAATATTTAACTGAATATTTATAATGAGAAGTGAAATCATCCGGAAACCTCGTCTCTCCAAGTTAATTACGATTCAAACGAACGTTTGAAACCTAGGGTTGTCACCTCTCTACATTTATTTAAAATTATCTAGTTATACGACTAAAATATCTACAATAACTAATAAGATATTTCTTTTTTTATAATGGACTGTGAATTTACAGAACTGATTTTAATATTTTTTTCATTATTAGAAAGTATAAAATGCAATATTTAAATTCACCTGATTACTGAAGATGATTATTATTTAAATTTGCGAATCGAAAATTACGTAATGTGCCTCACATTTCTTAATTTCTTCTTCGAATTTTGTCGAGAAATTAAACGAAATTAAGACATTTTGTATATTGTTTTTTCAGACATTTTTAAAATTGGTCCCCTTTATGAATAGCGCAATTGAAAATAGTTTTAT